TTTTTTTTTTTTTTAATATTCCCACACAGACAAAATATACAGGCTACAATTACTGTGAATTAAAAATAGGTGACAAAATGGTCGACGCGCTGGGCAAACCTATAACAGCTCTGAAGGAAAAAAAACTTAAGCCAACGGGACAGTCTCCACCGGGCAAGTGTCACTAACCAATCTCCCCATCTAAGATCACCAAAATAACTGAATCTGCAAATAAAAAAGGTGCTTTACACACCAACGTTTTCGACGTTATACCAGGAGACGTTGAGAAAGATCTTTACAACTAGCTCCAAAGCTTCGGACTTTGTAATTTTTTTCCCGATCAGTCTAGGGCTTTAATAGCAGTCCAAAGAAGATCACCCTTAGGTATCCAGGCAGTCACAATTGCTGTTAACTGAAGTCAAGAAAGAGTTAACTTAAGAAGCTCACCGGTCTTTTTGAGGGCCATCGGACGTCAAACTACCTTGCCAACAAATATATTAGAACTTAAAAAAGTTGAACNAAAAAACTCGAAAATTGGATAGAGCTACTTCTAGTACTGGAGCATTTGTGTTCTGTAAAAAAAAATTCTAGTACCTGGTGAGACATCATTTAATTAAAAAATCTTTATCAGCTTCAGCGCTTGTACATACATACATTATTGAAATTACATAAGGAGCCACTACGCATTTGTCAGGAGTATGTGTTGTAAGTGGGGAAATCACTCGGGAACAACCCATACTGGAGCGATCCCGCAACGCTTTGATTTCACACATTTGTAATTAAAATACGATATTTAAATACATTTTGTAAGACAATTTATTTCGTACAATTTATTTAAAATAAAGTATTTGAACTACATTCTATTCAAATATTGTATTTAATATTTATTGTAGTTAAATACAAATTTATTTAAAATACAAACGTATCTGATGTTTTTATTTGAAATAAAATAGTGTAAATACTATATTGTAAATAAAAACAATATATTCTTTCGAACAATTTTTAATGATTGACATATTTTATTTGAAATAAAATATTTATTCAAGTATTTTATTTGAATTACTATTTTCAATATAATCATAAATAGAGTATTTAGTTAAGATATTTTATTGAAATAAAGTAATTAAATTTTTGGGTAACTTGAATTAAAGGTGAAATAAAGTATTTCAGAGTATTTCAACTCTGTCAAATACTGCCCATCTCTGATTACAATAANCGTGGCTCAATGACCCCATACGAACTGAACCCAGCATTTTGCAGCTATACCTAACGAGTAAGCAGTGGCTTTTACTATACTATACTATTGATTCTCTTTCGCTAGCGCTATCCAAGGAAAAGATACAAAAAACCGCGCAAAAAACTAATATCTGATACTGACTAGCTCAGCTTCCTTTTCCTGCTCGATACCTCAGAAAAGTCCGTACCAGCAACCCTTGATCGATCGCTTACCATCGATCAACGATTACTGATTGACTAATTATACACCAGTGCCCTTTTTTATTTATTTAATTGTTCTTTAACCTTTATTAGCATAATAATTTGACCCACAAATCATACCACTGCCTCTAGCAGTCTGGTCGTCATATTTCAGATTATTCCACACCTTCAAGAGTAGAGGCGCCGTCACGAACCATGTACCCACCATCAACCATCAAGCCACAGTTCTCATACCTGAATCACATCAGCACCGCTCACCAAGCGCACACGCACGACTTGTGGCTTAAGAGGCATAACCCACTCATGCCGAGCACACACCGACACACACACATACACCCACACACACACACACACACACACACACACACAATTTAGGGGTCTACCACAGCCAGGCTTCTGCGTGCATGTACTTGACGCTACGACTTCATCCCACATTCTTACGTCAATATTTTAAGTATTAATACGTCATAAATATTTAAGGTTATTACTATACAGTACCTGAAAAAAATGTTTGATCTACCTGTTGTAATCATATAATTGGGCTATTATTATATTATCTCTGAGTCAACAGATTAAACTTCCGATAATATAAGTAATTTATTGAGTGAGTATATAGTCTTTTTTTTCATTGTTTATTAAACTACCTTAATAGAATTTGGTTCTTTGTCGCTAGTTATTGTTCATTTGATAATTTTTTAATTTATTGCAGAATTTGAGCTTTAGGCTTTTTTTAAGTTCTTGATCAGTTAATTATTATTTTAGCTTGATAAATAAAATAAAACTCATGATTACTAGTATATCAATTTTAATACTTTTTAGCATATGTACAAAAATATTTAAGAAGGTACACAAATACACAACCCACCTAAGAAAGTAAAATGGAACTTGATGGCTATGTTTTATTTCAATGACTCTTGTTTGAAATATTACAACTCAAAAATTAGTTAATTTTCCTAGATTTTATCGATAGTATCTCGATCAATATCCAACCTGCTTTACCGTTAAATTTGAAATCTTAATAATCCTGTGCAATATTTTCACTATCTCCCGTTTTAAAAATTTTTACTCAACAAACAACTGATTTTGTTGTATCAATGCCGTGCAATAATTTGACCACCTTCTGCTCCAAATATTGGCTTGTAACGACAAATCAAATTTAGTGGATTACATTATAAGTATATCTATGAGTATAAACTTTAGTTTATTGTTTATTTTATATTTTTACGATAGTAACAAATACGATGGTTAGAAACTTTTTTTATGGTACTTTTCAGCATAATTTTTTTTTTTTTAATCCCTACAGCTTATTATTTGACCAAATCAACTATTTGGATTCCGAAAAAATATCTTTTTAATAAGAAGATTTTTGTTCTGAGATGTGTCAGGAATATGTGTAAAATTTCTTACTGAAAACGTTTCACATTACATGTCAATACACTACGGTGTTTTATTTAGTAAGTCTTGGGTGAAGCCGAGACGGGGGGCCACTAGTTGGTTTAATATTTTACTGTTGCAGCATTCGAATGATCCATAGTCTTGGAGGACCTGCAATACAAGCAGGTGGTGGCAACCATCAGACTGAACAGGCGTGGACGACCTGCAGCAAGTGTAGAAGACCAGCTGTACTTCCAGACGGTGTTGACTGACAGGTGGGGCAGGCATGGACATCCTGCAGCAGGCGTAGAGAACCTGAAGTAGAAGCAAGTAGCGCTGACTGACAGACGGAATAGGTGTGGACAGTCTGCATCAGGTGTAGAGAACCTGCAGTACAAGCAGGTGGTGTTGACTGGCTGATGGGAGAGGCGTGGATAGCCTGCAGTAGGTGTAGAGGGCCTGCAGTACAAGTGGGCAGCGTTGACTAGCTGACGAAATAGGTGTAGACAGCCTACAACAGTTTTAGTGATGCTGACCTCTAACGTAGACGACGAGGTTACGTTGCACTAAATGACAGAATTAATGAGCGCAAGAACTGTGGAAACTAAGGCTAGAATAAAGCGACGCTCTTCATGTAACTGTATGCTTGAGAATATAACGTCTACGGAAGAAGAGCTGATTCTCAAAATGGCAAGTGTGCAGGCTGTAAGAGAGCCATGCTCTGTATATATATGTCTACGTGTGAACACAGCAGCAGCGAATAAGAAGAAAGAATTCTCAAGATGGCAGGTTAACAGGCTGTGAGAGAGCCACGCTCTGTATGCACATGTACGTGTGAATACAGCACTGTACTTCACTTACTTAAGAACATACACTCAAAGAAGGCGAGCCCCGATGTCACCTTACACATATATAATAGACAATTACACATGACATTTTAGTTACATTAAATTACTCGACTCTGTTTGAGCACCAAAACTGTTCAGTATCAAAGTGGGTGCCATGCTTCGAAGTTTACTGGAGATAGACAGATGGTTATCTTGAGCACTTTAGGAGTATTTCTTATCTTGAAGCACCAAATTATAATCTTGATACAAACACTTCAAATCATCTGAGATAAGGCTTCTAAAAAAGAAGTATTAAATCACGAATAAAAGAAAAATCTTAATCCATCGGGTGCGCATCAAAATTCTCTAAGTGATGTAGATGTGAGTGTGGGTGGGGTATACTAACGTGTGCAAGGGTAATAGCACGTGGCTCAATGACCCCATACGAACTGAACCCAGCATTTTGCAGCTATACCTAACGAGTAAGCAGTGGCTTTTACTATACTATACTATTGATTCTCTTTCGCTAGCGCTATCCAAGGAAAAGATACAAAAAACCGCGCAAAAAACTAATATCTGATACTGACTAGCTCAGCTTCCTTTTCCTGCTCGATACCTCAGAAAAGTCCGTACCAGCAACCCTTGATCGATCGCTTACCATCGATCAACGATTACTGATTGACTAATTATACACCAGTGCCCTTTTTTATTTATTTAATTGTTCTTTAACCTTTATTAGCATAATAATTTGACCCACAAATCATACCACTGCCTCTAGCAGTCTGGTCGTCATATTTCAGATTATTCCACACCTTCAAGAGTAGAGGCGCCGTCACGAACCATGTACCCACCATCAACCATCAAGCCACAGTTCTCATACCTGAATCACATCAGCACCGCTCACCAAGCGCACACGCACGACTTGTGGCTTAAGAGGCATAACCCACTCATGCCGAGCACACACCGACACACACACATACACCCACACACACACACACACACACACACACACACAATTTAGGGGTCTACCACAGCCAGGCTTCTGCGTGCATGTACTTGACGCTACGACTTCATCCCACATTCTTACGTCAATATTTTAAGTATTAATACGTCATAAATATTTAAGGTTATTACTATACAGTACCTGAAAAAAATGTTTGATCTACCTGTTGTAATCATATAATTGGGCTATTATTATATTATCTCTGAGTCAACAGATTAAACTTCCGATAATATAAGTAATTTATTGAGTGAGTATATAGTCTTTTTTTTCATTGTTTATTAAACTACCTTAATAGAATTTGGTTCTTTGTCGCTAGTTATTGTTCATTTGATAATTTTTTAATTTATTGCAGAATTTGAGCTTTAGGCTTTTTTTAAGTTCTTGATCAGTTAATTATTATTTTAGCTTGATAAATAAAATAAAACTCATGATTACTAGTATATCAATTTTAATACTTTTTAGCATATGTACAAAAATATTTAAGAAGGTACACAAATACACAACCCACCTAAGAAAGTAAAATGGAACTTGATGGCTATGTTTTATTTCAATGACTCTTGTTTGAAATATTACAACTCAAAAATTAGTTAATTTTCCTAGATTTTATCGATAGTATCTCGATCAATATCCAACCTGCTTTACCGTTAAATTTGAAATCTTAATAATCCTGTGCAATATTTTCACTATCTCCCGTTTTAAAAATTTTTACTCAACAAACAACTGATTTTGTTGTATCAATGCCGTGCAATAATTTGACCACCTTCTGCTCCAAATATTGGCTTGTAACGACAAATCAAATTTAGTGGATTACATTATAAGTATATCTATGAGTATAAACTTTAGTTTATTGTTTATTTTATATTTTTACGATAGTAACAAATACGATGGTTAGAAACTTTTTTTATTTTTTATAGTAAAATTGTAAAAATTGCATACTTTCTGTTTTCTCTATCAACTTCTCATTAATGTATATCTTTACATTAATATTATTATTCATACATACACATATTTTATGTATGTATGCTATATACTGATAATAAATTTTGGCAGAACATTTGTTTAATCGACTCTCAGTATGATAATTTTTACCATCTTATATAATCCGATTCTCAAAATCTCAAATATATCTTAGGGAGAGGTAGGTGCTACATGGGTTACTTTAAAATATGAGTAAGGGTCAGGAAGTAGTAAGTGGGACTGTTTTACACAGGACATTCTTTATTGGGTTAATTTAATGACGAAATATTCAGATTCTTTCTTTTTTTTTGTGAGGGACTAGAAGAAAACTTACAATACTAACATGGCTAAGAGGAGATGACCAGCTGAATCTATTTTTAGCGGCTTTATAATGTATGCTTAATCTTTCTTAATATTTAGTTTCACTGAGGATTTTAATTCTTAACCTCTACTGATCTCACACCGCAGACGATGGCAACATTAAACATATACAGATAGAATACTCTTCGTCTTTTGCATGGAAAGTGTAGAGTAATAGTTGCTCGATGCATGCAGTAGAGATTTACACAGATGAGAGTTTTTTTACTCTTTGTATGGTTCGTCGTAGTCGTATTGCAGGGATGTTATCATACTATATAAGCTTTTAATTCAAATAATTACTTTTTTATGATACTATCAAAAATAATGCTATTATTCTTAGAATAGCATTTTTTAAAGATCCGTTTGCAGAAAATAATAAGAACTTCATCATTCGTGGAAAAGAGAGAAGACCTTGTTTCTGAGCTTTGATTGCGCAATTTTTTAAATTACAGATTGATATTGTTGTTAACTCTTCAATTATCAGAAATAAAAAAAAGCGTTGCGTAACATTTTATTTCTGCCTTGCACAAAATCCCTTACCCCGTAGTGTAAGGTTCACTCTACTCGTAAATTCGATGTGACAACGAAAAATGTGTTGATTTACTTGGCACGAAGCACACTACATCTCTTAGCATCATGGTGAGACCTTCTTGAATTATATTGTCAGGTTTTAAATAAAGTTTCAGTTATATGTAAAACCATGGATGAAATTAAGCATATAAGAAAACTATTGTTTAGTTCATACAAACTATAAAATTTACGAGTGACTCTATCAATGTTCCGTGACGCATAGGTAACATGAAACAAATTTTTGTTAACAGTAAAATGAATTATGCACTCTTGTTTACCCTCATTCAGTCCACAGTTGTTTTAAAAGATTATTAACATTAACTCTGTTATCGCCGTAGTAACTAATCAATCTATTTGTCTTAGTGTGAAGAGTGTAATGAAAAGGAGATAGTTGCTAAAGAGTATTGGGTTAAATATAGGTACATCCTCGTATTTGCCCTAAGCTTTCTGATTGATAGCTGCATATTTGTGCTAACTGATACAGTCTTTTTTGTAGTCTTCCTTTTTTTTTACAAGGTCATTCGCAACATTTGGTTCTTTTCCACCTTAATATTTCGTTGTAATCGTTGCATTGGTCGTTTACATTTTGCAAGTGCGCGTCTGTAAATATTATATGATTAACTTCTAAAATTTATCCCTCAGAATGTAGTATTACGTAAATCTTTAAGCTTAAGTATCTTGTGATAGTGATGATTAGAAATGAAATTGCATTAGCTAAAATTGGAGATAGCTAGCCAAAGAATAATGTTAGAAAAAAAATACGAATCTTAACATGTATATCTGAGATTACGTTATTTTCAGGTCATTTGTTATAGAAATATGCGTTTGATTAGCTTTTAAAAAATAACAGCAATTATTTGTACAAATGTTTGAAATCGTTTACATATTGATTATTTTTTTTTTTTAATCTCTTGAAAAATCTATGTTTTAAATCTTGATTTTTTTAATGTTGGTTATTGAAAAATGATTTAAACTTTTTGAAGACACACTATTACACGTGTTATTGCATCACTTAAAGTTTTTTTAAGGACCACCAAGACAATACATGAATTGTTATTCGAAAAAAATGAGATCTACACAGCGAGACATTTTGTACCATAAGAGTTCGAAACTCTACGGCACTGTTATAGTGTGAACAAATCGGGCTCACCTTGTTCCAGAGTTTATACGCATACAGTACTGCGAAGCTTTGAACGGTGGTAGTTCGAGGGAGGGGGCTGTCTGAGTCCAGACATTTGGACTCCCTGAGTCCAAACGCTTGAGCTAGCAGTAATAAGTGTAATATATATTTGTTCATACACATTTTGTTAATTCAAGTGTATAAATCAGGTGGCTTAATAGATGTTTACGTGAAAGATACAGATATATCTTACTTTCATGATTGCGAGCTCAAGCGTTCGGACTCGGAGTGTCCAAACGTCTAGGCTCAGACAGCCTTCTCCCTCGAACGTCCACCGTTCAATGCTCTGCTGTACCATATATGGCAAAAAATTTTTGTTTAGGTAGCATGCATTACCTTTACTGTAAGAGTTGAGTGATATTTTGAATGTCAGCAACACAACTACTTGTACTTATGTAGTACAAAACTTATCTCTGTGTAGTATTATTTAGCATATAAATGGTTCATTCAATTTATAAATGTTTAATTCCAGAACTGCTAAAAGACATTCTTATTTTATGTTTTATACCCCGATTAAATCATTAATAACCTTGTTATAGAATACATAATTATTATGTATTATTCACGATTCAAGATCTTTGGATATTTTATCTTTTTTTTCTCCCTTGTCATCTTATGCTTTATTTTTCCCTTTTTTCTATTTTTGCTTTTTATCATCTTATATATTTTTATCGTGAACGTTATGGGTAGCATTTATTTATGTAAGATTATTTATAATGTTACTATCTTTGACAGTCACATAAAGCCCGTCGATGTAATCGTTCAAGGGGGGCTTATTAATGCTGTTTTTACCGAACAACTTTTCAGTGCTTATAAAACGTTCTTGGTGGATGTATCAATAACGGTTATTTACTCTATTACTGAACTATAGCATTATTTAATGAGCTTACTAAGAGCATAAAAAAATTTGTTGTAAACTTTTTTCTGTATCTTGGTAATACTACATAAGTATTTGCAGATTATGCCTTTTGAAAATGAAAAAAGAAGTAACCTTGTCTTTAATATCAAAAACAGCCAACTAGAAGATTCTAAAAAAGTGGCTTTACTTTGACCTTGTACTTCATTTGGGTGTGTGTATTTTTTACTGTACACAAGTACTCTCGAATTTGTGTAATAAAGGAATCAGTCTCAAACTCATTCATCATTTCTCAAATCGAAAATAGATCTTACTTGTAATGTAAATTAATCATTGCCTGGTTTAAACAGAGTCTACATAGCTCACTCAGAACCTTTATTCGTTATGAAGTTAAAAAAAGATTCTTCTTTTTAGGATTGTTTTTGTGATGTAGTTTTGTTGGTTGATACTAAAAATGTATTTTATTATTATTATTTGTTTTTCTATACATGGTGATTAGTTTTGTTAATAACATAGAAGTGTGACATTGAAACTTTTGTTTCAATTAAAAAATAAAGCTTCTCTCATTACATAAAATTCAAGTGAAAATAATACTCAAAGTTCATTGTTAAATTGATAATCTTGGTTTATGTTTATGTTATCATTATTCTCCGTCTCTTATTCAGCAGCAAAATAAGATGTGCTGGCTACCTTAATTTTGACAGATAATAAAAATTATACCATCGTTCACTTGAATTTTTATTGTTAAAACGAAATTCAAGGGTTCGTGAGCTACAGCCTCGTGAACATCGTCAAATTTTTTTGTGGGCTTTTTTAATGGGATAAATACACAGTACAGTAAAAAACCAAATATCTTATTATTGAAAATAATTAGTGGATGTTATTGGTGATATCTGGTTCTCCAGTGGCTCCCTTTTTAAGGAAAGCAATACAGTGTCAGTATAGCGAGGTAGATGGCTTACAAGGAAGAATCCTTCTATTAAGCTTGATAATAGCTAGGGTGTGCTTTAGACAATTGCTGTGAATAGCACTCAGTAGAATAATTCACTAAGTCGTCTGAATGAATCGTTGCACGGGTTCTGCATGGAAGACTTGCATTCTAGAAATAAAAGGAACTAAAATCATAGAGTATACGTTGGAATCTTAATACTATACGATAAGTAAAAAAATTCTTTAAAACTAATTTATCTTTACATTTATTTTCTTTGTATGCATGTAAAAAAGACTTTTTCCCTTAATAAAATGTACTTCTTGTGTCAACCTACGAAATTATATTGCAAAAATGGCATCGTAAAAGTGAGACGATTTTACTTAAAATACTTAAATTTTTTATGCATGTATGCTAGAAACATTTATTTTCATTTTTTATACTCAAAAAAATTGAATTGATCACCATGTATGGAAAAATAAATAATAATAACAAAATAAATTTTTAGTATTAAACAACAAAATTATATCACAAAAACAATCCTAAAAAGAAGAATCTTTTTTTAACTTCATAACGAATAAAGGTTCTGAGTGAGCTATGTAGGCTCTGTTTAAACCAGGCAATGATTAATTTACAAAAAGGTCTTTTTACGTAATTTCACTCTTAGTCAAATAATTTTAAATTGTTTCAGCTAAGATAAGGTGACGTCAGGTAGGCTCATCCATTTTAGCACTATAAACATACTAGGCGTAAAAATTTTCAGTAGCTGTCATTTTCTCCTTTGCTAAAGTGACGAGTCAAGACAAAGTCAATAATTTTTATCAAATGTATTCTACCACTGCAAAATTTCCTTTAAGTCATTCCAGTATTTAAATTAAATAGCTTATATAATGTTATATTAATTAAAGTGGTCATTTAATAACTATTAAAGTTTAATCCAACATAATGCTTATGTATTAATCGAATAATATGCCTTTTTTGCAGGACTCATGCAATAAGAATAAGTCAACAGAAAAGGGCATCTGCTGGGAATCTTATTACTTACTAGTCAAGAAGTACGATGCACTTGTGAGGGTTCAGAAAAATATAATTCAACGTAGGTACAACATTCCTGGAGTCACTGGAGCTACTTTAGGACTTTCGCTACAAGAAGAAATGCAAATGTCAAGCAAGTTTAGCAGTAATCTGACGGCTAGTGGAGGGAGTGAGTTTATATCAGGTAGTAGCAGGCACACTGGTGAAAATGGCAAGATTATTAGCAAACTTTTTGCTAGCACACCGACTGACTGTTTGGAGGCAGAAACCTTGAGATCTGGATTCATTGACAAGGACAGCGAAACAAACGATAAGGCTACTCAGACCGAGGGTAGACCCAGTAGTTTTCTCTGCTCAATCATAGATAGTGATGAATGTCGCTTTAGTATCTACGATGATACCAGCACATTAAAAAACTGCTTTCATCAAACGGTCAAGTACCGCAAGCTTTTTAGCGAGATATTTGAGTTGCTTAAACGTACTGCTGAAGGCAATGATATACTTTTAAATATAAATGAGCGAAAGCAGCGATCTTTGACCAACTTATTTGAGGCAGAAACACTCACACCGCTAGCTGAGCAACGTTCGAGTTCTGCTGAGTTCTTTAAAAATATTTCTAGTGAAGCTACTGACGATGTCAATAGTCTTATCACATTTACCATATCTTCGGTTGCCTCGGAACCTACTTTTCCAGTGCTCTCGCCCATCATTCAATCTCAAGAGTCCAAGCATCAAACTCATCATGACCAAAAGTCTCAACAGAGGAATCAAGAAAAAAAGCTGGATGCAACCCCGTGGACCCTCCATACTAATACACGTCGTCAGCCTCTTGACTACCTATACGTGCAAATTCGGAAGCGCAACTCAAATAAAAATGGCCGACACAACTTTGAAACGTCATATCCTGCAGATGTCGAGCCCACAATAAATCTACGGGCTGAAAAGTTAAGAACTACCGTCAGTGGCCAGCGCAAGTCCTGCTCCTTAACGGCTTATGGACTTATAGATGGTGTTAACTGGAATGGCAGTACGGCCCACTTGTACCCTAGCACGTTTTCACGAACTATGCAGCAACAGCAGCAGTATTACGACAGTCAAGTATCAACCACTAACGTCAAGATACAACTACAGCAGCGAACCAACGAAAACTCACAGGTAGCTGACTACAAGTCAGGCTCTGTCTTGGAAGAAGTGGCCAAGCTTGGCCAAGCTCCGTAGGCTCGAGATGTCTTACGCGGAGGTACTGCGTATGCCAAATCAACTCAACACAGCTAGCAGCCATAGCTCCCATCAACGTAGACACCACTGAAGCCTACGGCTAAAGTTACACTCTATTTGTCAATATGCTTTTAATAAGTTACTCTCAGTTTTTGATTCTCAGAGACGAGCTGGCCTCTTTTTGCTTATAATTTAACGTATTTTTAGAGTGTATGATACGTTTTATCACTTACATATTTAAAGGGTAATCACGTATTATGTGGATATTTAAGCCTGCTGAGCTCGTCAACCAAAATTTTTTGTTTATTAAGTATATTTCAGTTTCTTATTTAGTTAACAATAATTTAGCAAAAGTATAAATAATAAGTGAATGTCACAGTATTTTTAATTTTCAAGCTAGTGTTTCTTTCTATTACACATTTCTTTAACTATTTTTATTTGCAGAAATAAATATTTATGTAGACGCTTAAATAGTTTCTCCTTTTTCCTCCGATTTCAAGTCAACACGCTTTGTCTACGTATGTTTTGCAGAACATTGCTGATAGAGATAAGTCGGGATTTTTTGGCTTTTTTTTCCTTTTTTTTTTGTGATTAGCATGTAAAGGTTAGCATGGCTTTAAAAATACCATTACACAGCCAAAATTTGGAAGGTCTAGTCGTTCTATTTAAGATATTATGTATACTGAAAAATTGACTCATAAGCGTGGAAGCTGCAAGAAAAACTTTTGATTAAAGTGTGGTGAAAAAATAAGTATATTCTTAACTGTACTTACTGTTTTTAATGAAAACTAATATCTAATTAAATATACTTCCGGAAGCTTACCTGCAAAATTTTGGGTTGTAATCCTTATCGTTTTTTTTTTTTTTTGAAATATTCAATAATAGTGTACTTGGTAATAATTCTATTATAATTATACCCATAGCTGTTTAACACTGCTCAAAACCTCGTTATTTCCAACGGAATGATTATTATAAACTTCTTGACTTCTATTAACACGTTTTAGACAAATTTCAATAAAGTAATAACAAGAAATTTTGTAGGCAGTTCATTTTAGACGAATTTATACGAGTTTTTTTAAAGTAGTTTTACCTGCATCATTTCTGAAAGCATAAATTAGGTATTGGTCAAACAAATATTCAAAACATTATTCATACTGTTATATTATTCAGATGCAAATATTTGGCTGCACAAATGTATTGTGACTAACTATATAGTCAAACTTTTAAATTAATAAATTAATGACTAAACTGTCAACATTGCACCTGTTACTCTGTATGATACCTCTTTTTAACGCATTTTTGTTGTGGAAGTAACGATTTTCATAAAAACTTGTCCATTATCAATTAATAGAGCATTAAAAAAGTGGACTTACTTCAACTGGGGCTCAAACCTAAGCTTTCTTAGTAGGTAAACTATGAAAATTCTGGATCACCCCTCGCTTACTTCTCGGGTAATATTAGAGAAAAGCAATTCAAGTCCACTTAAAGGGTGGGTAAAGCTCCCCGTATTGCACGAGCTCGATTATGTGCCTTAACTAAATACTGGACTTATAGGACAGAAGCTTTGATGTTACAATAATCCTTAAGTGCTTATAGCTCCCTTCCTTTTTAAATCTTAACTGTAAATCCTCGAACGCCTGGATAGCTCCTACTATAGTAGTTTTATACATAGATATTTTTTAATTGATCAAAGTTTTATTCGTCCATTACAAAATAAATCATTTCATTTCTTAAATCGGTAGCTTTTTTCTTTAAATTTCGAAAAGTTCTGAAAATTTTATGGACAATAATTCTGTAAACTGAACCACACATTTGTATACAATTACTACGTATATGTATGTGGACGGACTAGAATGCCTAGGTGTAGCCGAGCTCTTCCCCCATAACATTAAGTCACTGTCTAACGCAACGCATTTGTCACATGAAAACCAATGTATGTTAGCTAGGGTGCTTACTTAGAAAATTTTTAATCAGGGATTTTTTTTATTTTACTGGCTTGTGTGTTATTTTGAAAATCTTTACTTTACCTATTTTATTTTCGAGTTTCTTGTCTCATTTCAATTTTTGTGCCATCCAGTGACGCCGAGAGATAGAACGAAAGAGAGCACATGCACGCGCGCATGCTACCGAATAATGTGTACACTACTTTGGCTGTCGAAAAAGCATGCGGTGGTGAAGGGACGAACAGGAACGAAGGGGGCAAGAAAAAATGTGACGTTTTTCCCTATTTTTATGAAGTGAGGGCCCTACATAAAAAACTTTGATTTTAAAACGTTGCGTTATAAGTAGTGTGTATTAAGCTGTTAGTTGCTCCAAAAGTTAGAATATACATTCCAAATGTTGTATATGTTTTTTGTTGTACTTATTTCTATTACACCTAAAATAATATTAGTAAATATAATATGAACTGATGAATTTTAAGTATTTCTACAACAATTTTTTTTTATACTTTTAGTACGGGTTAAGGCTAGAAATTAAAAGTATAAAAAATTGTTTTGATTGAGGGAAGAAAAAGTATTCAATAAAGATTAGTTCACTAAAGTAATTATTTTAAATTTTTGATAAAGTGCAAAAAGTTTGTTTGTTTATACTGCTAAAATTTTTTTTTGTTTTTCTAAGTTTCTGTCTCAAGTAAGCTCCCGTGGCTAAAGAACTATGCATGTGTATAAAGACCTCCATTTCTGTGAACGTGGTGATCGTCTCCAGGAGAGTTGCTCTGAATTGATTGTGGGCTTGGTTGAAGCGCTCCAGGCTGCCACCCAGATTAATGGGGGTCGTCCTTATCTAAAACAGCTCTTCTCCAAAAGAACAAAAACAAAAAAAAACAAGCGTGAGAAGTCTTGAGACCACTGACAGAAGCAAAGCTTCCTCATATATATGGCAGTGATACATTATCGGGCATCAATTGTACTGATAATGTCAGTAGATATACACATATAAGCGCGTGGTGGCTCGGTCGGCTGGTTTGTAGGACACCTCGCGGGAGACTGCAGGTTCGATCGCCGGCCAGTGCGACTCTTCCGATCAAGTACCTCTGTAAATATTCACATGTGCTTTTTCACCACGTAATGCTCCTTGTGAAGAGATGGGCAACCTTCTCGCAGCAAAAATTGCCTACCACATAGATCCTTCGCTCTCGAGGTGGTCTATGTGACATCATCACCGTACCATAATCTACAAAGGGTATCCAATAATGTATAACCAATAATGTAATATGCAATCATTACTCGTAATATATAAGAAATATAAAAACGTGCCTTACTGTACCAAGGCTATATGTACTCGTTAACAATAAAGCCTAAAAATAAATGCACTACGTAAGTAGGTATTTATTTAAAAAAAAAAAAGAAAAGTTTTTAAAATAATTATGAAAGTTTATTTAGTGTTACAGTTTTGCTGCACTGAAAAAAGCAAATAATTCACAGCTTTAGTGCTAAAGATTAAATTTTAATACGTTTAAATAGTGTGTGTCAAACAAATACTAATTTCACCCATAATATATGATACTATTGATTATAAAAGTTAAATAATCAATCTCAAATAATTAAAAAATTTAAAGAGTATACGAAACTTTTTATGTTAACGCNATAGCACTTTTGTAGCTAAAGAGTTGAACTTGAAGAAAAAAAGTTGGAAAAAAAATTATCATTAAATTAATATTGTTATTAACAATTTAATGGTTTTGATCGATTTTTAATAATTTCCTCCGAAATGAATCAAGTTTTTATTATTACCATCGTATTCTGTGTCAAATTTTACGTAAAAATCATGTTTTTAAAATATCGAGACTTTTCAACTGTTATTGTTAAAATATTAATTTATGTAGCGTGTAATGGTACAAAAAAACTGTTTTTTGAGTATAAAATGATATCTGTACCTTGTATCAAAAAAATTTGAAGTAAAAGTTATAGATAATTAAAATAATGATCTACAACTTTTGTGTTAACCATTTGTCAGTATAACCTCAAAATTTTGTATTATCATGCAAAAAAGCGAGAAATCACCATTTTATGAATTATTAAAAGTAATTTTTCACTTTAAAACCTGAGATGAGCAATAATAACTGAAGTAATTGTATTTTATTGAATTAATGCAAATGTGTAATAAAAAACCAAGTAAACATTATAATTGCTTAATATTTATTTATAAATGTAACAAAATTTGCATGTACAAGTAAAAAATTTTTTACAGTTTCATAGCAAAATTATGTCACTTGAAAATTTTTACAATTTTTGATTTTTCTTGCAAAGAAAACAGCCTCGCTTCTAACTCTTGACAAGATAGTGGAACCATGCTATGATAGTTTATGGTTCCCTTGATTGTTGTTGCTCTCAAAAATCTCTCTGACACTTATTTTCCTTCTTCTTCATAATCATTATTCGTAGAATAACGACTAATAATATTTGGCAGTGATTCTGTGGCCCAATCAAAAAGTTCTCGCGGCGTTCGAATAGGATTGTCAATTCTCTGAAGACTTGCTCTGGCAGCTAGTCGTTTTACAGTCTCACCTATTCCGTTGCATGGCCCCTTTCCATGTGAAGTGGGGAAAAAATGCCACTCTGCTGCTATTTTTAAGTCTTTGAAGTGATGAGAGAGATTAATGAATTTCTTTTTATTCTTATACTGTCTGCTCGTACGGTCAGACATGTATATTGTTTTATTTTACGGTAAATTTATTTTAATAAATTTAATCAACCACTTTTGACATAGATGTACGGCAATAGTGTCATGAAGTAGGCATTCAGAAATGCAAACAAAACTTGAAATTTTTAATTCATCCAAGTAGTTCCTGTAATAAATTGAAAATGGATGAACGGTTGCCTGATCGTTGTGGTAATATAAACCCTGAACCAAATTTTGAATTGTGAAAGCATAATTTTCTGAGAAGTCGCAAATTTCGATACACTTGTTTTTTCTCAGTTTATTTTTTATCTCATTTTAAAAGCCCCTGTGTTTATTAACGAAAAATAAACGAATAAACAGTTTTTGCAAACCTTCATTCGGTCAGCCAAAGTATTGAAACTTTCTTGCAAAGCACTTATTTTTGAGGACTCGTCGTCATCTGCTTTAAAATCATTTGGATCATTTTTG